GGAGTCCGTTGTAGGAGGAACCTATTGGAACTAAATTGTGATAAATCTCTAGTAGTAACCTGAACCCAGACAATGCATCCATCAGTGTCGTGAAATGCACCTTCTGTTCTAAATTGAATTTGCCTTTTGTGTAGAGTGAGTTTGCTGGGAGAGAGATTATAACATGGGGACAGGATTCTGTGATACTGCAGGAGGTAGGGCCCTTAGGAAGGATTCAGCATAGAGGAGGGCAAAGACCAGAGAAGAATGACAGACACAGGACTGAGGTGTTCAGAGAAATGGATTAAGTGGGGGCAGGGAACTGTAGTGATGAAGAAGGTGGATGGATCAAGAGTATAGACAGATGTTTGAGTCTACACTGCACTTGGGCTGTGCAATGTCCCAGAGACAGTGGCAGAAACAGCTCTGGTTGGGAATGTTTCAGGTTAGTATCAGAATGAGAATGGAACAATGGAGAAACTGAATATAAGGGTCTTCACTCCTGAGGTTGATTGAGCATCAAGCATGGCCATCACAGATAATGACAGAGAATGTTTAGAAAGAGTTATGCAAACCTTAGGTGACCCACTGGGGAAACAGAATTTCCTCTTTGCCTGGGCTTGTAGTTTGTAACTGGTAATTTCCTTATTCCTTTGACTTCTTCATTTCTGTCACAGGAAGCCCCTCTGACTCTGCTCTCTGCTTCCAATCCTCCTGACTATACCTGCCCCTTTCCTTTCTATCTGGACCACAGTTCCTGATGTGACACTGCAGATCCTGTCTCACTGTCCTCAGCACTAATGCTTAGGAGATCAAATTATCTGGCTGCTATGTGATGTCCAAGAATACCAGTTGCCAAATTACAAACTGATGCTGGTAATAATCTCCCTCTGCCCTTCCTTGGGGTACAATGAGGGTAATAACCTCTCTTTCAGGGTTAGTGTGAGAATCAACTCGTCTGGTTATATGGGAGGCTTCATATATGGATTCTTATTTGTGAGAGTATGGACTGGGGTGGGAAAGATCATAGGCTATTTTTTGTCATCTTGACACACACTAATGTCACTTGGGATAAAGGGAACCTCATTAGAGGAAATGCTTTGATCAGATTAGAGTCTTATGTGTGGGACACTTTCCTGATTAAATTTTTGCTAAGAGACATCAGATGCAACTTGAAGCAAACAGTCTCAGAGTACAATTCGTGGAAGCAAAGTTTGGGACCCATGACTTGGTCACTTTCATTCCCTGATGCCAGTATGTGGTTTTCTGATTTAGGTATAGTAGGAGGCTCTCCAATTTCACAGATGCTGGGTTTCTCTGCTGGATGCATCCAGCCCTTTCTCTTCTGGTTCACTTTGATGTTGCTCATCCCTGTTCCCACTGCTCCAGGCAGAAGCGTCTTAAGTGTTAGGAAATATTACTGGTAATGTGTGAAGTTAGGACAACCTTTTACTCCTGGAGGCTGGGCAATGTATCCTGCTCAAGCTTCCACTAGCAACCTGATCCCTTCCTGTGTTGCATGACGTCCTGTGAACTAGTGTTGTGCACACAGTGGATAAAAACCTTCGAGTGTCTGTGCTGGATGGTGTCATGATTCTTCCCAGATCCTTGTACCTCTTCTATTGACCTCCAATGTTTTTACTATTGGAGAATCAGTGTCTAGATTTCACTCTAGACATCATGGATCAGGACCAGGACATATGCCCCCCACCACTGGTCTTACCATATTCAGATGAAAGTATGACAGGACTAGGTCATGTTTTCCATGAGGACAGAGTGAGGTGTGGGTTAGTGTATTCTCCTAAGGCCTACTCAGCTGCTAGTGGTGATGGCACTTCCCTTTAAATCCAGCTCTTTGGAGGCAGAGGAAGGTGGAATATTTGTGAGTTTAAGACCTACCAATCTACATAGTGAATTCCAGGACAGCCAAGGGTCTGTTGAGAGTCCTTGTCTCAAAACAACAACAACAATAACAAAAGAAAAATGAAACAAATGTTTCTGCTCAGGTGGAGGGAGAAATTGAGTGCAGCCTACACAAACATGTGGACAGTCATATCTAGAGAATGGACCATGTGACCTAAGCCATGCTCTAAGGCCAACATCAAAACATTTCATGTGCATTTCTCAAAAACCCCAGTGCTGGGGAGGTAGAGACAGGAAGATTGCTGGAGCTCACTGGTCACCCAACTACCCAAATTCCGGGACTCTGCGTTCATTGAGAAATCTTGGATCTTATTTCCCTGCCCCTTCCCTCCAAAAATATAGAGAACCAGAGATAAAGACATCCAGCATTGACCTGAGACTCTACATGCACTGTGTTCAAACACACACACATCACCCATATGCATAACACATGAAATTGGAGACAACATAACATGGAATGGTTTTCTCTGTTCATGAGTCAGCACTGTGAAAATGATATGTGAACCAAAGAGATGTAGAGATTTCCCACAGTTCCCCTAAAAATTCCAATGACATTCTTCACAGAACTAGGAAATCCTAAACTGGATATGGTTATGGATATCTCTCATCCCAACATTCTGAAGACCAATGACTTTGAGGGCAGTCTGGTATAGTTAGTTCCAGGTCAGTCATTGCTATACAGTGAGACTCAAAAGACACAAAGCAGGTGCTATATCACTGAGCTACACCCCAAGAGCTTCTTTTACCTTTTATTTGGGCACTGGATCTCACTAATTTGTCCAGAATGGCCTGGAATCCACTATTCAGCTAAAAAAGATTTTTCATTTTAAATTGTCCTGCATCAGCCCCTCAAGTAGCCGTGGTATGGGGACTGTGCCACTAGGGCCACCAATTTTTAAATTTTAAGCTACTCATTGTCTTCAAAACAAATATTAAAATAGACAGACTTACAAAACAATATTAAAACAAACAGAAAAAAGAAGAAATGAAAGAACAAGAAGCAAAACATAATTATCAATATGGTTTGATGTCCTTAAAAATTGTTATTGAACCTTATTTTAGTTTTTTCCTTCTTTCTTCAGTTTTTATAGACCAATCAAAGTTTCTCTTTCCTCCTCTTTTCCAAGTCCCTCACTTCCAACCCTAAACCTGCCCCATCCACTCCTCCTCTGTTTCTCTTCAGAAAATGGAGGGCCTCCCGTGGATATCAGCCAGCCATGGTCTGTCAAGATGCAGTGAGACTAAGCACCTCCTTTCTCTCAAGGTTGGATGAGGCAATCCATTAGGAGGAATGGGTTCCCAAAGCAGGTAACAGAGTCAGAGACAGTTGATCCCAACTCACACAAATGTGATATGTATGCAGAGGGCCTAGAACAGTCCCATGCAGGTGCCCTGGTTGTGAGTTAATTAATTTTTTAAACAGATCACACCTAAACTGGATGTATGCAGAGGGCCTAGAACAGTCCCATGCAGGTGCCCTGGTTGTGAGTTAATAAATTTTTTAAACGGATCACACCTAAACTGTTGTGAAAGAACTTTCTTCCTAGGTTTTCTTAATCAGGTTTCCTTTATCAGGTTTTGTTAATAAGCATTTTCTGGTTTGATAAACTATATTGAGTTATTTCTTCTTTCTCTAGTTTCATAATGTCTTTATTTGAAATGCACAAACAATTGAAAAAAATCACCAACTACCAGGATGAGAATTTCCAAAGTGGAACTTTTCATCCTTTTTAAATTTTTATAATTCTTTTTATTTAGAAAAAAATCTTATTTTAATATCAGTCCCCTATTCCCTCACCTTCCCATCCTCCCATGCCCCCAACTAACTCCTACACCCCACCCCCAGCCCACTCCCCAAGGACAGTGAGTCCTTCCATGGGGGAACATCAAAGTCTGTCACATCATTTGAGGAAGGGCGGAAGTCCTCCTCTGTGTATCTGGGCTGAAATAGCATCCCCTCCCTAGGGAATGGGCTCCTGAAGTCCATTTGTGCTCTAGGGATATATACTTGCTCCACTGTTAGAGGTCACATTGACTGCCCAGGCCTCCTGACTGGCACCCACCTTCAGAGGACTTGTTTTGGTCCAATGCTGGTTCCCCAGTTTTACGACTGGGATCCTTGTGCTCAGGTCAGCTCTTGTTGTAGGTTTCTCTAGCACGGTCTTGACCACTTTGCTCATCCCCCCTCCCACTCAAAAACTGGATTGCAGGAGTATGGCTTAGTGCTTAGATGTGGGTGTCTGCTTCTGCTTCTCTCATCTCCCAGATGAAGGCTCTAGGATAGTAATTAGGGTAGGATGGTAATTAAGGTAGTCATCAATCTCATTATTGCTTAGCTTCATAGTTGGGGTCATCTGTGTGGATCTCTGGACATTTCCCTAGTGCCAGATTTCTCTTTAAGCCCATACCGTCCCCCACTATTAAGGGTTCTCTTTTCTTGCTCTCCTCTATTCCTCCTCTGTCTCAGTCTTCCTGACCCCCCTCCTTCTACTCTCCCGTCCTCTTCTCCCAAAGGGGAACATTTCTTGTGACAGTGTGTTCAATGTGTGAGAAGTCACTCAGATTTTGTGTTTAATTTTTTCTTTTCTTTATGTAGCATTTTCATTTGTTTTACATACTGTCCATAGTTTCTCCTCCCAGACTTTGTATTTATTAAGAAATGAAATAGCTTATTGATATCAAGGAATCTGACCATTTGATGTACAGACCCCAATATGATGGTATAAAATGGTTAATCCTGTTCTGATATTATTACATTTTGAATGAATGAAGGAGGCTGGAGAGGTGGCTCTGTGGTTAAAGGCAGGCACTGCTCTTGCTGAGGACCCGAGTTCAGTTCCCAGCACCCACAGCACAGAGCTCACAAACACCTATAACTCCAGCTGCAGTGTCCACTCTGGCCTCCATGGGCATCTGTATATACATGGCATGAAATCACACAGACACATAAATAAAACACAATAAATGTTTAAGAAAATGAAGTGAATATATGTTTGTAAATGCAGGAACCAAGGCAGAAGGACAGGAAGTGTGAGGCCAGCCATGTTAGGATTACAGGGATACACCACCATACCCAGGTTTCCCATGGTGGGGGAGACCTACTGCAGACTCAGGATCTGCAGGCCAGCCCGGCCATGGTCCCGTGCCCCACCCTTGTCCATGTCACCACCATGGTGGGGCAGGCCTACTGCAAACTCAGGTTCTGCAGGCCTCCTCTGTTAGTGGAGGTGCCATTCAAGGCCAGAACTGAAAGAAATTTACACATGTGGGCCAGGCCTATTCTCTTTATACTCAGAAAACCAGCAGCCAGCCCAAAATGGGAAGGACTTGTCCAAGTCAGCATCTCCAGAAGCAGCTGTATCCAGCCCATAACTAGCTATTGACCATCTGGGCACCACATCCAATAGGATGATTACATAGACTTCTGGTGCCTGACTCAATGCAGGTGATAGTTGATTTCTCAGGACCTTAGAGGCTGATGGGGAGGTGAGTGTCTGGGATCCCTGATCTCCACCTCACCTGTCCATTCCTTCGATCTGAGCCAAAAGACCTCTCTCTGGACACCATGTTCTGAATCCCACCCTCTAAGATATGGGCTTCTGGGGTCTCTGTTTGCCTCATACACTCACAAGCTAAGTGACAGAGAAATGAGGACTTTGGTGGGCTCAGGTGAGGCAGCTTGGGGATAGACCTTACTCCCTCCACTGATGTGCCTGATACCTACCAGCTGTTGGCAAGGGACTTGAGGGTGGTTGGCTGAGGATACAATGTGTCCTAGGAAGCAGTACAGGGTGAGGTTTAGATGCTAACTCAGGGACCTGCCTCTGCTGTCTCTCCTGTCTTGCTCTGTAACTTCTCCAAGATTGTTGTGCTGTCTACCCCAAACCTAGATTGCAATAGAGGATGGAGTGGACATTACTTAAGGGACCCTGCTGACATCCGCTTCTCTGTCAGGGAAAGAGCCTTCTGACTCACCCTTCTTGTTGGCCCTTTAATCCCACCCAAGTCAAGGGCTCTTCTAGGGTTTGGATTTCTAGTCACCCTGAGAGTTCAGAGTAGCCTCACCTGAGACAGAGAGCTCCACAGGGGCACTGGCATGTGACAACAGGTAGGGAGACGAGTCTTGAGACCTGTAGCACCTGTAGGTGCCTGAGAGGGCAGAGGTCGCAGCAGTCATAGAGAATTCTGCCTGGAACTCCCCATCTTGGGACTTGGATTTCATTCGCTGGGGTTGGTGTGCTGCTCCCTCCTAGGACAGAATGAAAGTGTCTGTCCTGTATGTTGACTGACACAGCAGGGTCACATTGTCTCCAGACTGCACTGTTGAGTTTGGCTTCACTGAGAGGAAAGGACTGTCAGGAAGCTGACCTAAAGAGAGCAGAGATAATGAGAGGCTGCCTTCAATGTTCTCAGCTGAGACTTCATAAGGATTTGCTCTGGGCACTTGTGACTCTGTCTTATCTCTGCCTTACTTTCTCTCCTGCTTCCTGTCTCTCCATCTGTTCCCAAATAAGATCCAAGTCCCTATCCCAGCCTTGTGACTCAGTCTTATCTCTGCCTTACTCTTCTTTCCTTCTCCCTGTCTCTCCATCTGTCCCCAAATAAATCTCTGTCCCTATCCCAGCCTTCAGCTCTTAGGTCCCCCATGAGAGCTCATGCTGAGATTAGATACTACATAGAATCTCATTTGTTCCTCACCTGTGATCATGATGTCCAGGGGATCACTGGAGGCTGACCACTCAGAGGAGAGCTTGTGTGCACCATAGCATCTGTATTGGCCTCCAGTAGAGCGGCTCACATAGCCCAGTGTGAAGTTGGCCAACGTGAGGCCATCCTGGGTCCTCTGGCCATACCGCTTGGTGAAGATGTCTTCCCCCACCTTGTACAGAGCAAATCTGTCATAGTTGATGTCAGAGCAACACTGCAGGGTGAGGCTCTCTCCAGGGTCCAGGATATGGCCTTGGTGACTCAGCAAGGAGGGCTTCTTGGACAGGCCTAGAGGTAAGATGACAGCCTAGTGATTGAGGAGCTGGTTTTTAACCAAACACCTATTCCTTCCCATCATGCCCTGCGCATGTCACTGCTTCTCTCCAGGCATGGCGCTCTGACTCAGCAATCAGGATCTTTATTTTTCACTCTTTACCTGCAACTACCCAGTGGGACAGGGTCATGACAAATGGCTTAGGGTGTCTAAAAAGATTTTCAGTGATGGGGCTGACTCACCTGAGATGTGTATTTCCAGGGGCTCACTGGGTACTGACCACAGCTGTGGGGTTTGGTTGTAGTAACCATAGCATCGGAATGTCCCT